AGTATCACTATTCGTTGCCACTGACATGGACATGGACGTGCACACATCTCGAGATGTTGTGCTGGTACTTCGCTGGTTACTTCCGTTCGTACGACGATGGACACTTCCACGGATCGGTTGCGGAGGCAACAGATTCCCAGCGTCTGCGGAATTTTGGCGTCTCTGTCGGAAACTTGCACGATTCGACGACTCTGTGGGTGTAGAAGGGAAACGTGGCGAACATCGTTGCAAATCATAGAAACACGGAACGTTATCGAACGGAGGAAACGACTGATTGTAATTACAACTGTGCGTTGCGCAGGCTGAATCCTGAGAATCACGTCGTTTTATTTTGATTCTCAACGAGGAATCTCTTGAATCTCTGTGAAGGAGCGAAGTTTTTGAGAAAATACGTGAAATGAAGGAAGATTTTCTGGAGAGTTTCAGATCGTTACTATCCACTGATGAATTGGTCCACGATGGAAACTGCTGTTGCGACTGTGTCGATTGTTGCTGCTGTGCAAGCTGATTTTGATGATTCTGCTGATGATGTGGATGATTTCGAGAACTTGCAAATGCTCTGCGACGAGCGAAACGACTCTCGTCAGTTCCTCTACTTGTAGTGGTATCTAAAGACATGTCCAAAGGATCTGAATGATATTTCACTGAGGATGGCGCGAGTTCCGTACTCGTTTCAGTAACATCATTAGGTTCTTTGGATCAGCAGTGAGCAGTGGACAGCAGATGCCCTGCCACTCAACGACACATGGTTTTTAGAANCGACACATGGTTTTTAGAATGACTGATGATAGGAAAAGACGATTGTGAGATGCTTGATGTCTCGAAGCATGTATGAGTATATCACTACATTTTTAAGCTGATAATACCGAATAAGGCGTTGGAAGATTCTCTTCTCATGAACACATTGTTGATGTAACATCTTGTATTGCAAAGACTCTATAGAGGAATATTTTGATTTCGTTTGACTATTGCAAAGTTAGATGACGAGGCTTTGACTATTCGAATGAGAACATTGTGATTTTGTTTTTCTTTCAACACAAATTCTTCGTTTTCATATACAAAAAATTCATCAAACGATGTATTTTGTCTCGGCCTCGATGGGAAAATTCTGTGTGTTTGCTCAATCTGGGATGTAGAACAAGCATAGTGAACGACTGGGCATTGGAATCAATTTTCGAGGATATCAATAAGTTGCTATAACGACTGCAGGGGAACGTTGTATTGAACGGCAGAAATTATCATAATTTCTATCACACACGCAATGAAGATTGACCAGTGTAATCTGCATCTGCAATTTGCTTACTAGGCGACAATTGCTACACACGTGGTTTCGAGCAAACAAAACTTATCTACGCGAACGGGAATCGAACCCGCGAAGTAGTAATTAGCGGTTGAGTGCTCTAACGATAAGATATCGCGGAGACTGGCTAATCTCAGTCAAGTTGTTGTGCTGAGTTTGCGAACAGTTCTTCAGCGCATAATGCGGTACTGATCTGATCAGAGTCAAACACTACAATCAGAGCAAACTGATCTGTACACGATCATGATAACATGAACAGATAACTCGATACAAACTAAAAGATTTGCCGAGAATTGTTCAATCAAATCTTTGCAATCAATCAATCCATAATGAA